AAAAAAAAAAAATTTAGTTTTAAATAATGTACTTATTACCTTTTATATTTTTAGGTAGTAGATGTAAAACAGAGAGATATTGCAACGCAACCAATTAACAAATAAGTATATAGCTATATTATCTAAACACCTCCCCAAAAAACATACAAAAATCCCCACTGCGGCCATGCATAATACTATAAATTATTACAACTTGATTAGTTATGAAAATAAGAAAGAGTCAAAATGGTTTAGAACTGTTACATTGTATATTTGTATATAAAAAATGTTATTATAATTATCTGATTAAGTTTGAAGTCGACATTTAAAAATGATTGATTGCAATTCGTAAATCATTGTTTTCTTGTTATATTTATTGAATATTATATTGCCTTACAGTAATAGATGATTTTAATTCGTTGGATGAAAATTTAACATCTGTTCTAAGTTGTTTATTTATAAAGCCGTAAATATCTAGATAATTAATAATATACATTTTTCTAATGTCTGCTTATTTAATATTATATAGCGTTTTATATAATAAGTGGCATATTTTAAATTTTTTGTTTGTGGGGTTATGTAAGTTATAATTAATAATAAAGTAAACTACCAACTTTAATAGACAGCGTAGGTACTAATATACATATATTATGTATATTAAAATTTAAAATTTGAATTTAATACGAATTATTTCATAATTTTATCTACTTTAAAACAAAAATGAAGTTTACCGGAATACCGGATAATCAAATTAACTTTCTATGATCGTTAGATAAAAGTTCAATTTTTATAGAAATCAAATGTTAATGATCCGTTTCATCAAACGTTTTGATAGTCAATCTACCATAGTACCATGCATACTCATAATAAACATCTTTTCGAAAATTCTATAGGTAGATACATGGTTATTGGTTTTTAAGAGGAAGCTATTATACAGCACATATTTGTTGTCTCCGTCTTATAAGTGCGTAGCAAAGCAAATTTACACTTAGAAGGCCACGTTTAAAAATTTGAGTAAATTGACCCATAATGAAACTTATTATGGTACGGGTTTATATAATCAATGCTTATAGTATTTAGGTGAGTTATATGAGCATTTTTAATTTACGATTTTTTTAAACACGCATAACTTGCTAAAAAATTGAACTATCTTAAAAAAACTTACATATATACAAACAMAGATAATGTTCTTAACATCAAGGTTCATAATAGGTTGATTCACTCTAATTTTTAAACTAACGGAGCTAAACGTGATCTGCTGAGCGTAAATTTGCAATGTTATGCACTTATAGTAAGACGGAGACAACAAATGGTTGTGTATAGTCTCCTCTAAAGACTTTCAATTTACTATTTAGTTTATATTATGATCTATACTTAAGACAATTTTCAAAATATTTACATCATGTCGTTATGGTACYTAAAAATAAAATATGTCTTATGATAACCTAACTTCAAAAGGGGGTTTTATAAGCATATATTTATCATTATCAACCATCTTAAGATTTCGACAGCATTTTCTTTATATTTATTTATTTCTAATATTTCTGAATGAATTCAAGATTTTCCAACAAGTCAAAATCATCCATTTCTATTTTCTGAATTTAAAAGGTACTAGGTATAACAATGTTTTTAAGAACAATAACAGTCAAACAAATTGATACTCTGCAGCTATAAATAATAGAAATAACATTTATTTTGTTGTAGACTAGCTGTAATTAGGTATAAATAAGAAACACATATCGTACATTTTGATGGCCACAGCACGGTTACAGAGACAGATGTCGATACAATAAACCAATACCGGCAATACCCAGAATACCCTGCACTAGTAGATACAATAAATTTGTACCAAAAATAAGTACATAATATAACATATTACATCTTTTAGGCTGCATAATAAAATATTAAATGAGTTCATCGTTGCAACAATATAGTAGGTAAGGTACTAAGGTGGTAGGTAGATATATGTATAGATACTAAATTATGAGACAGAAACTATAATATAATATATTTCAAACACTATAATGCTATATTATGTTGCTCACAATATGGAAATAATAATATAGTAATAAGATTTTTGTAGTTTTTAATTTTTATATATATTATGTTATATAAACGTCGAAAAAATACTATAGTTTATCAATTATTATTTAATAATTTAATTTGTTAATTTTAAAATTTAAAAAATATATTCCAAAGAATTCCTTGGAATTAAACAAGCTATGAATACCGGAGTTAGTGTCACGACTTACGACGTTGTATACTTGTATATATAGACTCTTATCGCATGCACGGCGTGTTATAAAACGCCTAAAATTGAAATCATTTCATATAAAAACGTCGTAAACTAGAAAAAATTCTCCCACGTATTTTAAGAAATATTATTAGATAAAAGATAAAACAAGTATAAAAATAGGATTCAGAACAATCAGAACATGCATGTTTTTATTTTTTAGTACTGAAAATAAAATAAAAATTCTTTTGAATAAATTCAAAATAGTCTATTTGTGAATCTGCAGATTATAAGAACAATATTGATGATAAAAAGATTTATCTAAAATTAAATATTTTTGAGTTTAATTAATTTGGAACGTATAACTTTTTAAAAAATATGATTTTTGAAAATTTGGTCACATGATTATGTTTATTAAATTATTTAGTTATCATATAGACATATTATAGTATTAACAATTTTTGACATAATATGTTTAATAAGCATATTTTTTTTATAAGGTCTTTCTACAGTTACACCCTGTATGGCTGCATTATATTATATATAAAAATGCTCTGATGGGGGGAGCATTTTAGGGGTTGGCTTTATTTTTGCCCCATTGAATAATTATGTATAACTGCCACTGCATGATTTATTGTGTTATAAATTATAACTTATAATATATATATATTGATTGTTTTGGTTTTTCAAATTAATTAGGAATTATAGTATTACTCCAACTTAACATAAATTTAGCCAATAATAATAATCTATGGCACTTCAGGTGCTATATAGCTGTTTGAAATAGTTTTAGTATAGGATTATTTTATCTTGTCACTTAAATATAACAAATATTTTGGTGAGTGTCAATAAACTGTAGAGAGGACCTGRGCTCCTTATGCCCCCTCAAAAGATGCCCTTTTTATTGTATAGGTGCAGTTGGGTGTCCTGCAAATTTTGTTGATCTTATATATTGGTAAAAAAATTTCACCACCCATACATTTAGGTATATGTAGCAAATGTGTCACCATGCCAAACAATTCGACATTTTAAACGGCTATTATTTTTAAAATGTTGACAGATAGTGGAATAGAATGATATTATATTATTATGCAAAGATGTTCTTAGTTTAGCTGCCTATACGTATAGATAGCGCGCCGCGATCGATTTCGTAAACTAATTCCCATGCTGCCCATGCTGCAATGTATATTTGGCGTAGGCATGAAGATATTAGGTATATACGCGTATAATATAATAATATATTAATATTGATTTATGAATTAACTACTTAAATTGTGCTTTAGTCTGCTTATAAAATAAAGAATTTCAACAGTTAGGTATACAACACAGGTTTGCCTCGCCTATCAAACGTATACGTATAATCTATAGATTATGTTATAGGAATAATATAGCCTGGAGCGCATACCTATTAATTATTATAAGTTATAAGTTACATAAGGCACCGGGCTGCACAGTGGCATGCCCAGAGAGGAGTTTAGGGGTTATATCATCCTTATTATCCAATAAATCTATATACATTTATGTTTTTTAATATTATGTAATACATCAGATATAATTATGCATATTATTATATACAAACACGACATACCAAACGTGCGTACMTATATATATGCTGTATACCTATAGTTACAATTTACATGTTTATACACACTATATATACACGTTTGATATAATGTTCAAATATCATATATAATTATAGAACAAGGGTGGCGAACCTTTTTTGGGTGCCAAATTTTTTAAATCAAGGATTTGATAATTTTTCGTGTGCCCAAGTTTGTAAACACTATAAATAGATCATAATAAATAAAGTGATAATATAATTATTATAGTAACATAATCAAATATAAGAATATATTATAACTTTTAAAATGTTGAATTTTTTTGAATTTTTTATAAGCAAAATTTAAGAATGCATAATTTTTTACAATTTTAATTCATCGCTCTTGCGATTGAAATTTGACAAACGTACCACTTTTGGCTTCATGCGCGTGCCTTGCATGATGCGCGTTCGCCACCCCTGCTATATAGAGTATTACGGTAATCTATATCTAGGTAACCTTCCTATTATATGTATATGTATTATATATGATGGTTTTTACTTCTTATAAACGCAGATAAATGTATACCTATACCTATATTGGTTTATCGGTTTATGTATATATTTCTTTAAATTATATATAGATGCGTACATATTGTTCATCTATATTATGTATAGCCTGCAATATATATAGGTATATATCACACGATCTTTATAATATGTATTGGGTCGTGTGATCCCACGTCAATATACCTATATAGGTAAGTCCGCCGCCCGCGAATTGTTCCATTCATCACCATTCACCCATGCACTGCGTGGCAATAACTGCATGCAGTGCAGCTGTATTTCTGCAACAGCATATATATTATTAGGTATATATATACTAATGTCTAATATACTTATAATACTTAATATAGTTAATAAGGTACCTACCTATTGGTTATTAATACCTATTAAACATCAGAAAGCTCGAGTTAACCAGTTACTATAGTTAAACATAATATATATATAGGTATCTACATTATACTTTAATGGCCGAAGTATATAATTATATACTTTATGAGAATGATGAACGAGCTGTATGTATTATTACCTATATATATACCTATATTATACCTATATATATATATATATACAGACACAATTTATCTATATACTCTATAACTATACAGGATAAGTAGGTGCATACACTTGTACCTATAAAAATATTATATTATATAATACATATATATCCACTTATATATTGAATGGTGTATATGATTTATACTGCAGTAGGTAGGTACCTGCTGCAGATTGAATAATATTATATAGAGATTGGATAATTATTTCATTTTGATGTATATAACTAATATAATGTCATATTTGTTCATGATTACGTAAGTTGTAGGTAGTTACTAGGTACATACCTACATAATTATAATAGACATATATTATAGTTCTATAGGCATCACTAGCCACTAGGTGCATACACGAGGCATCGTATTGTGTATAGGTATTGTAGTATTAAGTATTATAATACTTATATATACAGAAATAATATAATAAAAATGAAACATATTATTATGTTATAATTGACGTCTGGTTGTTGGCGTTGCGCGTGTGCGCTTCGTCGCGACGGCCGAACCAAACGTTGATGACGGCCACGGCCGTGGTGGATATAATATAATATAGGTGTGGTTGAGCGCTACCGAACACCGTTTTTGTTTGTGGAAATCCCCTCCCGAGTGTATCAATCACTGCGCCGAGCCGTTCGCCGCCGCTGTAACCTATACGGGGCTGTACGGGATACGCCCGCGCCGGATTGGCCGTGGCCATGGCGACGGGCGGCTAATCATGGGCGGGGCGATGGTGTTGCGCAGAGTGCGAGCGGGCGGGCGGGTCGTCTGCGACAACGCCGAAGGGTGAGAGCGGAACGGAGAGTTTGAGCCGGAACGGGATCTCAAGCGGAAGCGGGAGCAAGAGGAGGCGTCGCCGCCGCTGCAGGAAAGTGGTGGGGGGCCGGCGGGCGGGCGAAACCGCTCTCTTTCACTTTACTCGCTCTCTCTTTCTGCTGCCGTTGCCGCCGCCACCGCCGCGCACCAGTAGTATTCGGCCGGTCAACGATATTCCGATGATCTGACGCAAACGATATCCCCCCGAACCGACGACACACGCGCGCGCACGCATCCACGCATACGCACGCACACACGTATCGTTTCGTATCGTATCATACACACCGCCGCTCGGCCGTATACAGTCTACACGTACGCCGCCGCGACGACCGCACTACGTCCGTCGTAGTAGGTATAATACGCCTAATACGGTCACCAATATCATATTATATACCTACCCGTGCACACATATTATAATATTGTATACATAGTTCGTCGTCGTATAGTATTAATAATATTTATCGCAAATATTACACTGTTATTATATTGTGGTCGTTCAAATCTCTACGCGTACGTTCCGATCGTTTTTAACCGTGTACACCCGCGATTCATCCGAAGTACATSATACTATATTAAGTTGTAGTACCAATTATCCGTTGATATAGTGTATACCTACGTTTCCTTCGTTCTTGTCGCGGACTCTGAAAATCCTGCGTTGGCGACGATCGTCGAATAATAATACTTTGTTTAACGCATAATATTAGTATTTTACACACCAATTATTAGTTTACCGGCGCCGCTCATCGTGCTGCAGCAGCTGCAATTGCACTGCGACATCCGCGCGTATATTCTGTTGTTTCCGTGGCTGGCGCGTGGCATGTAGAGCGATGGCACTGGGCATATCTTCGACGCCCACCGACTCGTCGTCGGGCCGGGGATCGCCAGTGAGCCCGATCAGCAGCCCGGTGACGCCGCTGGCCACGCGGCTCGCGCCCATGCCGCCAATGGTTCCCAATCCCATGTTCGGGCTGCCCATGCTCAACTTCAGCGTGTCGCAGGTGGCCAGCGTGTGCGAGACGCTCGAGGAGAGTGGTGACATCGAGAGGCTGGCCCGGTTCCTGTGGTCACTGCCCGTCGCCCACCCCAACATTGTCGAGCTGAACAAGAGCGAAGCCGTCCTCCGAGCCCGGGCCATTGTGTCGTTCCACAGCGGCAACTACCGTGACATGTACACCATACTGGAACACCACAAGTTTACCAAGGACTCGCACGGGAAGCTGCAGGCCATGTGGCTGGAAGCCCACTACCAGGAGGCCGAGAAGCTCCGTGGCCGGCCGCTGGGCCCGGTCGACAAGTACCGCGTCCGCAAGAAGTTCCCGTTGCCCCGGACCATATGGGACGGCGAGCAGAAGACACACTGCTTCAAGGAGCGCACCAGGAGCCTGCTCCGTGAATGGTACCTCCAGGACCCGTACCCCAATCCTACCAAGAAGAAGGAGCTGGCCCAGGCCACTGGACTGACGCCCACGCAGGTGGGCAATTGGTTCAAAAACCGYAGACAACGTGATAGAGCGGCAGCGGCCAAAAACAGGTAAGCTAGCCCTTTATTTTTCGTGCTTATATAATACATATAGGTATATATTATATATAAACTGCTGCTACTATATAACACCGTGAGTTGGATGATAAATTTCACTAAATTCTAACTATATAAAATTAGGTATATCATATATGTAGGTAGATACTATATTATATATATACATTATACGTGGAAAATTATAAAAATCTATTTCCTATTATATAAATTGAATATACACTATAATATTATAGAGGTATAGTGTATAACTTATATATATAATATATTTATTAACTAAATATACTACATACCCTGGGTACCTATATACCTATGCAAATTGYAAATAAAAATGAATTTTCATACAATTAAAACAAAACTTAAAAGTTTGTAAATGCTCAAATCTATATGGTACTCATAAAGTACAACAATGCTAATAATTAAAAAATATATATATAAACTGCATTTAATTATTGAATCACAATGTTCTGAGAATCTTATCCGTTAAATTATTAAATTGTTGTTTTTTCCTTTAATAATGCCTTTAATATTTTATCAAACATTTAAAACCCGAATTTAAAARTAAATTTTAGATCAAACAGAACAGCTATATAGGTATTAAAAAATATTATGATAAACATATTTGGATTAATTTATTTCGTATCAAATACAATCGATTTTTACTATTAAATGATGGTATTATTGTGTAATATTGTTTTATACTTTAAAATTATATGATATATATAGTTATTTCAATTTTAAAATAATATATTTTTTAACAGTTAATTTATACTTATTTATATACTATAAATAAAGATGTGCTACCTATATATATTGTTAAAAAATTTGTTGTCGAATATAAACCATAATGATATACTATCTAAATATTATATTATGACGTATGAATATAATAAAATGACAAACTTTTTCACGATACTTTGGTATATCGTCTATATCGTAAGATCATACCAATATATGCATCTATTTATAATACCTATTGCATATTTTGCATATACAGCTATTGCCTATCACACAAATRWTAATTAAACACATTATAAGTTGAATATTATATTATAGTATTTAAGTAACATAATACCTTAWACCTATTTTTTGCGATTTTTGTAGAGTTTAAATTTAGATATTCACAACATGTAATATTGAATATTTATATCTGCAGTTTTATAATATTTGAGTACTATATGTATATTAATATAGGCACCGTCCGTCTCTTATTATTATAAGGTAACCCGTTCCATATAATATACTCATGTGTATATGTATATTATGTTTACTATTCATTGTATATTTACATTCTATACGACAGTCGCGTTAAGGTTGACCAAACGTAAAATAATAAGAAAAATAAACTGGTTTTTATTTTTATGAACGAATGCAATGTTTTTTTTTTAAGAATGAATGCGGCCGTGGCAGGTGGTACATTCGATATAATAGGATATGATAGATTTATTACGAGATTTTATATAGTACAATCAGAATACTCGTGGTATACTCAGGGATCAAATGTGTACCTATATATATATATATATATATATAGTTTTCTACTATATTCTCGGTTATCAATCGAATAAATTTTTATATATTAACGTAACGGTGCAGTAATGCTTATGTCACCACTCGCCATCAGTCGTCAAATATATATAGGTAAAGGGTAAAGCGAGGGTATATTATATTTATTATATAGTTATATTATAGACATATTTATTTTTATTATATAAAACTATTTATTATATAGGTACCTACGATAATAATAATAATAGGCACTTAAAACTGTACCTATTATTAATAACAAATTATACAGTCATAATCAGGGCTCGGATTTTATAGCACTAAAAATAACTGAGATATGGGCTTGAATAGGTATTTTACATTAAAAATCTTTAAGTAAACGCTACAATATGCCCTATAAAGACCCGGAAAATAGTAAAAATGAAAATTTATTTTGTTCACAATTAAAAAAAAAAAAACTATGTACAAACATTCAAATATTCTGGGTTAAAATATATAAGTACGACCGTAACAACCAAAAAGGAATCATAATCATTTATAGTTCGATAGGTAATTTCACCAAACTACTTTAAAGTATATAATATTGGTAAATAAAAATGTGGGTATGTACTATTTTTACTATGGATTCAAATAAAATAAAATAAAAATAAATKACTATTTTTTTTATATTTTTCATGCCAGTAAATAGATTCTTAAAAAATGAAATACCAAAATAAAACGTTATATTATGTATATTAGGCATCAAAAAATAGGGCCAAAACTTGAGAATAGCACTAAAAATCTAAAATAATTCAAATATTAAATAAATAGCTTAAAATAATTTCACATTTGAAATCCCTAATGCATAACASAGATTTATAGATCACTCTGTTCACGCTATTTCTTTCTGTACCCTGTAATAATTAGCAAATGTTATAAAATCCGAACCCCGGTAATAATAATAAAAATATAGGTACCAACCTATCTATATTTGACTACATTTTTTTCGGTGGAGAATATTTYTAATTTGAGTGGGGTTGATATTCCTATTTTACAATAAATACCTAAGTAACATTTATTTTATTTAAGATATTTAATTTTTGATTTATAAGAAATATTTGTTATCAAGTTTAAAATGAAATGTTTAAAAAATATTGTGGGAAGCACAGGCTCATATATATGTTTCCTATACCATCCCCCAAATACGCTATATATAATTCTTCAATAGTCTTCCATAACATATATAATGCATGATCAAAAAGTAAATTAAAAATATTATGTTAATCAATACGATATTCATCCTATTAAATATGATTACGGACGGCATAATCAATGTTATATTATATGTACAAATTTTTTGTAACACAACTATATGTCTATATGCGAGTATACAATCTTAAATGAAAAAAATAAAAATTTTTCGCACCTATTGTACTCATATACTTTATACTTACAGTCAATATAAATGAATAATTGACATGACGTTTTTGTTAATCTATAGCTATACATCACCTGCAATCGTCTAATTAGACACCATGCGGTTTTTTTTGTTAAATTTTAACCTATTCCACGTAGATCAACGTCTAGAATCTTTCTCTTATGCGATATGCTTAATATGCAGTATATACCTATATAACATTTAACAATGTAACTATRTACTAATATACTATACAATCAGTAATTAATACTAAAATAAGTATAATATTATATTGTATGATAACCACAGTCCACACACACAATACACATTACACCCGAAGTGTTGATGTGTCACAACTTCCAAATCACCAAATATACCTACGTAGGTATGTATATTATATTACCTATGTATTAATTATTTCTTAAATCTCAATTCATTATATTACCGCATATATACATATAAATCGTGTGCGGTGTTTCACTATCGCGACTACTTAATTATTAATTCATATTGGTTTTATAATATTATACTATACGTACATTGCAATTAATAGGTACCACGCAATAATAATATTATGTATTACATAATCAAATCTTATGTATTGGAGGATTGAGCGCTTGACATGTTCAAATTATACGAGTATCGAACCCGTTTCGCGCTCTGACCGAAAATAAGCGCTTTCCTTAATTGATAYACACAAAAACCTTACATGAATTTAGTTAGGTATTATATCTAACTATACTAACATAATTATACATCTTATTATCTTTCATACCTAGCTACCATATTATTTTTATGGAACATTATTCAATGTGGAGTTTTATTTTGATATTATATTGTAGTTAATTATGTTATCGTTATATTATGATCATATATAACTAGTTTCAAAAGTATTAATATATTATGACTTAATTTATTGTAAAAAAAAAAAAGCGTTTGACGGGTACCGCTATTGATCTATATATTTATGCAACTGAAATTTTAATAATAATATATTATAACAGTATGATTTATAAATGGGAAAAGTTTTTAAAATTTAGATTTTTTTAAGTTGATCGTAATATTTATATTAATAGTAATCTCGATTGGCTGTATCTTCTCCGTGTATCACGCGCGGTCATATGAAATATAATATAAGTTGATTCAACCGGGTGAAGGGAACCTATTCTTATTATTCGATATACAGAGGAGTGTAGAAAACTGACGAGTGCATGCGGTCCATGTACACAGTTTACTTATCTTTAACATCACTCTATAATAAGTGTACCTATAATATATATTATAATACTCGCCTTTCTGTGGATATCAGACCGCCCATATATAAATAATAATATAGGTACGCAGTGACATACGTCGAGTTTCATTCAGATTATGTGTAGTATATCTAGGTATATATAATACATATTTAATAATTACAATAGTTTAGCAATAACGAATGAAATAAAATTAATTTTCCAACGACACGACAAAGTATAGTAAACACAATTTAAACTGTCGTCGTTTGGAGAAATTAAGATATGAAACTATGTAGGTTATAGAATATATTATGCATACCTAGGTATATCTAGCCCATATAATAGGTATCTGGTTAAATTTTTAGATGTATAATACGTAAACAATAGGGACTACCGTTTCGTTTTCCATTCCCGACGTTCGAAATATTTTGACATATATTTTAGTATAGATGGTATTATAGACAGGATATATAGGATTGCATTAATTATATAATATTATGTACATTATATTATATACGATTGAATCACGCTGAGTTACAAATGTTATATTTATAAWTTATATACTGTCGAACTATACACATCATCATTGTGATTCTGCAAGGTTGAAACAATGACATCACGTTTCTCGAGCGTATAATATAATATAGAATAATAATGATTGCGAATTGTTATTTCCGTTTCTTTTTTGCCCTAATATTTATATATATTTTAGAATTGTTTATCAAAACCACCAATAAAATATGTCATCTCGCCAGTCACCATAATACATGTATAATATATATTATAACGTTGATTTATATATAGATGTATAATGTATATATATTTATGTATTAACTATAAAATATATATTCATAATATCG